CTTCCCCCTAACTGGTACCATGCTATGTGGATTGGAACGATTGCTTTGGCACGATAATCGCGAACCGCAGAGGGATGCATATGTGGTCGGAGACCAAAATCTCAATGGCTAAACCGAGGAAATCATGTAAGGCCGTGTCACTCGACCCTCTCGGTTTAGACAATCGGTAGTTGACTTACTCCCTCACTCAACTCTAAGGTCGGACGGCTTAATCGCGATTAACCGACATGCTTAACTCAATATTGAGGGTTGCCCTAACTTAACCTAGTTTAGGTGGCTTAAAAAGCGGAAGGAAACCAACTCGATTGAGTATCCCTTGAAAGAGGGATTTTCCTCTCTAAGCTAGGCTTAGGTGGCTTATTAGATTGCTAGCACCTACATGCACAAACCTAAGGGTGTTAAGCACAAAACATGCACAACCCCTAAGTTTCTAAGCACAAGCATGCACAATCATGATAAATAATGCCTCAATCATTGGATTGAACAATACCCAATGACAATCATCCAATCCACATAAAAGAAAACTACATGGTAGAGTTAGGGTTTCACAACACCCAAGTGAAAGGAGGTCTACTCCATGCTAGAAGTGGACAAAAAAAAGGGAAAGAGATGGAAACCATCTTGGAGGATGCTCCCAATCTTCTTGGCCCTTGAGTTGAGCTTTCCTTGGAGGAAATCTTCCCAAAATTGCATTGAAACTAAACCCTAGTCTTCTTCTCCCTTTGGTTCGTGTTTCTCTCTATAGAATGTTGAAGAAGGCTTCTCACACACAATGGGCTCTCCCCTCTCTCCTCCTTTCAGCTCATCATTTAAACCCGAGACGAGCTAAGTTCACGGCCGTGAACCATGAAACCCGTCCGTGAACTTCAGGCGTGCACCAAAACGCGCCGCATCATTCACTTATGTTCACAGTCAACTTCCCTCGTTCACGGTCTTAGTGACCGTGAACTCACCTTGCTTCAGTAACCTCCACTTTGGCTCTAGACACCTCGTGATTCACTGTCCATGGCTCTTCACAGTCATGCAAGACCGTGAACTTCCTTGGTTAGCCCTGAAATGGCCCTTTTTCACCTCCTATCCCGATTTTCGATCCTTTTCGCCAATCTTTCGACTCCGAGGCTGGTTTCACTTGTTAAATCCTGAAACACACTAAAACACGGGAAATCTAGCGCAAAACCAACTTTTAGGAGTGAATTTGGCACAAACATCTAAGTAAAACGGGGGCAAAACATGTACAATTAGGTCCGATCACTACCCCACACTTAGACGTTTGCTTGTCCCCAAACAAACCATTCCACTCAAGGTAATATTTCAACCTATGATATGATCTCAATATGGGCATTAAAACGACTGGAATTGATCGATCATGAAGGCAAGCTAGGCACGTTGAAGAACACTGATTTTTGCCTAAGTGTTTATGACGATTTCAGGTACCCACTTTGGACAAGCATAACTCTCTATTAGCTTGATGGAAATTCGAGTTCTTGGGCTTGTGTTGAAGAGGAGGAGTTGTTCTTTCAAATGGTACACTTTGGAGCTCAAGAGGAAGTCCCAGCTCCTGAAAAGGCCCCGCAGGGAGGTAGGCTGGTCGGGTTCAGCTTGGTACAAGACAACATAGAATTATCTGGCCATCGCGCATAGCTCAGCTACATCAAAGATCCAGTTTCCTTGCTCGTCCTTAAGCCCTCTGATCCTGTTAAAACTTCTCCTCTTAAGAGTTGACAGGTGCTAAAATCGCGTGTTCTTATCTCCTTCCCCTACCCATTGCATACGGGACTTCTGAAACCAAAGCACATGCTCCTGCCAAAGTGTGACTTCTAATTCCTGCCACACCTCCTCTTCTCTGGCACGAGAGGCGTCCGTGCCATCCCTCTCATTCTTCTCCTCTAGTTTACACAGTGACCGGGCAAGCATCCTTTTACGGTGGAGGATATGCCCAAATGTTTCTATGTTCCAAGCCTCAAAAGCGGCAGTGAGGATGCTGGAGGACCGTGAGAACCCCGTTTCACTCGGCCAGTTCTCCTAAAGGACTCGATCAAAGTCCTCGTGTCCTAGCCAAACATCCAGGAAGCGGAAGGATTTCAAAAACAAAATTGTGGAACAAGTTGAATCTCCCATCAGCAGAATGGGCTGATGGTCCGAGCCAATACGCTTGAGGTGACGCGTAATCGATGTGGGAAACTTGGTCAGCCAACCCTTGTTGCAAAGAGCTCTTTCAAGGCGTTGCTGGAGGGTACCCCGATGCCAAGTGAACATGGGCCCTGTAAAGTTCACCTCGAGCCGCTCACTATCCTCGATGCATCTCCTGAAGGGACGAGAGCGAGCTTCTTGGTGTGAAACTCCCCCACATCGATCCATAGGTCCTAGGATGGAGCTGAAATCTCCAATAAGTACCCAGGGAATTGTTGTGTCATGTGACAATCTTCTAATCTCATCCCAGAGTTGTTATCTGAGCACAATGTTGGGGCTACCATAGATTGCAGAGACTGCTACTAGGCTCCTCATGCTTTGCTTCACACAAGTCAGATGAATCATCTGCTCCCACTCCGTGATGGATGTAACCTGCACCTCTTGGCGATGCCATAGCACCCAGATCCCTCTTGAAAAACCAACAACATCCATTATTAAACTGCCATCAAAACCCGTTTTACGGATCACTTCCCAAGCTGTATCCCCACTGATTTTAGGTTCCACAACAATAACCAAGTATGGCGTAGTGGAGGCACAGAAATTACGTAAATAGACTAAGAAATTATCACTACCTGCCCCCTGACAGTTCCATGCTAAAATGTTTACCATGACGATAAAACTAAAACACCAAAAGGAAAAGACTTATTCTCAAGAGGAAGTGAACTCCCCTGGGGATGGGCCCATGCCCGGTTAACGAGCGGGGACCATAGTGGGAAGTTGTCCACCTCCCTTCGTCTTCTTTGGAGCCTTTGTGGAGATGCCCCGGGTGTTAAGTTCAGTAATCTAGCATTGGAGCACAGACTGTGGCTTCTCGCCAGCAAGCTTGACTCCTCGCTTAGGTGGTTTTGGGTTCTTTTGGTGGCTAGTGGATTTGCCTGCCCCACCTCCTTTTTCTTGACCCCTGTTAGCAGGTTTGGTCCCCTTCATGATAGCTTTCATCTCATTATTTGCTGACAAAACCACCTGCTGTATCGGTACCGTAACCAGACCTTGGCCAATAACATCTTCATAAGAAGAGCACCCTGCTACTGAGAGAGTGTGATCGACGCTAGTGCGATATTCTGTGCCACAACCTGGCGGAGCTTGGTTGTCGAAATTCCCATGCTAGGCTGGGAGGGGGTGGTTACCAAGTGGCCCACCACCATGTCGGAGTGTGGCTCACTTGGAGCAGTTTGGATTAACTCTCCACATTTCTCTGTCGGTTTCCAGTTCAGCTGAGATATCCTCTGTAAGTGCCGAGAAACGCGAGCCTCCGTCAAGAGTAGCAGCTTGGATTTTGCAGCAACGAGCTCCTTATTCGAGGGGTTGCCTAGCCTTGACGATGCCCTCTGCTTCGGCTTTACCATCATCCACTCCCATAAGCTGTCGGTTTACCGCCAGCGGCCTCTGTGAAGTCCTTCATACTCCACGTAGTACGTTTTCCCCTCGATCTTGTATTGACCAAGAAGTAGTTTGGTAAGGTCAACCTCCACGCTTACTCTGCCAAATTTAGTTCGAGCCCCTAATGTAGTTGCACGGTCCACTCGAACTGGTTTGCCAATCCGCGTTGCAATCCTCTCCACCGCCTCACGATTGATGAATTCCGCTGGCAGCTCCGGTAGACGAGCCCAAACCAGCGTGGTTGCCACTTCCGCGAACTTTGGGTTAAAACCCCGCCACCACGGTCGCATAATAATATAATGATTCCCAATCATCCATGGCCCGCCCATGGCGGCATGCTCGTAGTCCATTTAATTCCAGAACCGCACGACATAGAAGCCGTATGAGAGGCTGGAGATTTGAATGATCCCTATTTTCGCCCATAAGGTTTCCATTCGTTTGGAGATGGTAGGGAACGGGAACGTACGGCCATTACGTCGCCGCGACCGCTAGGGTTTTCGTTCGCTCAAACTCTCGCTCCGTTAAAAATTGAACTCTTTTTCACCGATGGGATACATGCTTATCTACTGTGGGTCAACTTTGTTGATGGGGCAAACGGGAGACTCTGGTCTTCCATTCGTTTTCTTCGTCTTTCAATCAAACAACCCTTGGAAACCTAGAGACTCTGGTGTTTCATTCAACTTATGAGAATTGTGAAGAAACGAAGTGGTGATCGAAAAGACTACCGACAAATTTAGATAGTGAGTTATTAGTGGATTGTATGTCAGCTAACTCGAATGGGCTAAATTTGGTTTTAAACTAGGCATCAAAAGCCCTCATTTATACAAAAACGCATGGTCATGGATCCACAAGAATGGGAAGGTAAAGGAGAAAGCTTCTTGGTACTTGCATTGCATGCTTGTATAGTTGTATGGAAGTGGAAGGTGGGCCCTTACCCATTTCACTTGATGGAGTTTTCGGCCCATCATGCACTGTCTGTGTAGATCCAATCACAACATAGGTGAATTGTCCTCTCGTAGCTTCGTGATCGATTCTAACAAGAAACTGACATGTGGTTGATTGGAGTTTTTGCGTCCAACCAAAATTGAAACTCGGAATTTTTTTAAACTAATCCTCAAACTAGTAAAAGGCTTTTTAAAAACTAATCATTAAAACATTTCTGCTGATTAATGTTCTTTTGTTGTCTCCCGAGTCGATCTGGATCGAAGAAACATGATTAGAAGATAATCCACCTACCCTCTATCACTCTCCCACACCTCAGTCAGTTAGTCTCCCGTCTCTCTCACACTCCCGTCTGACTCATCTTCTTTTGCTACGGGAAGATCTCAAAACCAATCAAAGTCCTAAAAATAATTAATTTTCAGAGCCGTGCCCGCTGTTACGCTGTATAGATTGATTGGAAAAATACAAGTGGGGAGACAGACAGACAATACAATAGAGAATTTCAAGAATAATAGTCGTCGAAGAAAAAAAAAAGAGACCCCTTTCCATCCAGAAAAACACTGATATTGATCGAATCGCGCCTTCTTTTCTTTCTTTCTTCTTCCTTCTCCGCCTTCCTCCTTCGGTATTTTCCTTTCAGTTTCAGCCCCCTTTTCTGGTTTGCCCCGAAAAAAGAACACGTTTTCAGATGAGAAGAAGTAAAGAAAGGAAGTAAAGGTGCCATCTGGGACTCCTTCTTCTCCATGGCTTCTCTCTGGTCCTTCCTCTTCCTCCTCTCCTCGTTATCTATGTTCGCCTGCTTCTCCTCCGTCTTCAGCGAGGAGAATGACATCGCCATCACGCCCATCAATCGAGATCTCTACCATTCCAGGTAAACCTTCATCGCTTCTCCAGATTCGAATCATTCAGATTTCCAGGGGGGAAAACAAAAGAGAAAAAGGGTATTCTCTGGCCAGAGATCCAAAATTGTCCCGGGGGTTTCCGTCCTGCCTACCTCGTGTTCGACGTATTGCGACACAGAAACCCAGAAGCCGCGACATTGTTTGCTTTGTCGGTCATCTTCCTCTGTTTTCGAGAGATGTTTCCATTTTTTTAAACATGTTAGTGATATTGTTTTTTGGGTTCGCTCTGCAGTTCTGATTTATTGGAGCAGATTAATTCGTTGGTTCATCGTCACCCTGACAAGCTCACCGTAAGCAGTAAAGTTTGTTTCTTTTGAGAGTTATGACCCCATTGAATTGGGAAATGTTTACTGACTTCTTGTTTTTCTGGGGTTTTCGCCCGATTGTAGATGGAGACCATTGCCAATGGGAACAAAGGCTACCAAGCGGAGATGACCGTAGTCACTTACTCCAGAAGCTCGACCAAGGACGGTGATGACAAGTCCAAGTTTCGGATTCTTCTGGTAAGTCCCAAAGTGTAGAAAATGGGAGTTGGTTTAAACCCCGCTTTCTTGAGTAAATGATAATAAATATGTAAGTGGGACTTAGATCGATCTCAGATCAGTGTATTCTTTTGCTGGTTTTTTTGACAGATGATTCATTGTCTTCCAGAGTTTTGGGCAGCATGGAAGAGAACTCGTTACTACGGAGCTCGCACTTCGGATCTTATCTATATTGAGTGAGGAACAGTTCCTGCCTAACGTGGATCGCGACGCTTTCAACAGCACCCTAGACAAGCTTGTCATCAAGGTAAGAACTTCTGCAATCCTAAATTGGTACTATGCATTTGCAAGTAGGCTTTTAGTTCGGACAAAGGTGCAATAAATATACCTGGATTCAGTAGGACTGTAATGCGGAAGAAGTCTGGAACTTGCTTTGCCACTAGATAAAAAGAGCATCCCTAGCATCTAGCAATATGCTATCAGTGCCTTACTTGACATTCAAGCAAGCTTCTGACAGTCTCAATTTCTGCTGTGGTATTCAGATGGTGCCAGTGGAGAACTTGAATGGCCGAAAACTTGTTGAGCAAGGAGATCTTTGTGAGAGGAGGAACGGTAAAGCCCCTAAATTTTAAATGATATGACATGATTGCCTGTTGAGAGGTGAAAAGGGCTTAGAGTTTCACTTTTTGAAACAGGAAGAGGAGTTGATCTCAACAGGAACTGGAGTGTTGATTGGGGTAAAAAAGAGAAGGTTAGTAGTATAATTTCTAATGGTAGTTTATTCACTTCACCTGCAGTTTCCATTTGGTGCCATGGCTTATTGTGGTACTTCTCGTTCAATTATGTAGGATTATGATCCTTATGAAGAGAATCCAGGCACTGCTCCTTTCAGTGAGCCTGAAACCCAAACAATGCGGAGACTTGCCTTATCTTTCGATCCTCATGTTTGGATTAATGTACACTCTGGAATGGAGGTTAGTCAGTAGCATTACTGTTTGTTTGTTCATCAGTCCCCAAAATTATCCACAATTTCATCAACCTAATCGCTTGTTTTGCGTGTTTAGGCTTTGTTCATGCCTTACGATCACAAGAACACGACGCCTGAAGGATCTGCCTCACAAAAAATGAGATCATTGCTCAATCGAGTGAACAAAGATCACTGCTATGATCGTTGTATGGTTGGATCTGGGGGAGGCTCTGTTGGGTATGCATTCTTTGTTCAGTTCCTAGTGGCTTTGCTCGAGAGAAACATCTTAACTTGGGCAATTGGCTAATGTTAATAATGTTTGTATCTAGGTATCTTGCCCATGGCACAGCAACAGATTACATGTACGATGTTGTGAAAGTTCCCATGGCTTTCACCTTTGAGGTTTGTTTATATGATCAGTGGCAGATTTCCTAGACTTGGTCTTTTCTTTACACTAGTTGATTGATGTTCCTTATCATTGGCAGATGTATGGGGATTCCACAGCTTCAGCAAAGGACTGTTTCAAAATGTTCAATCCTATTGATCATGCTACCTTCAATGTACGTGATTGTGCTAACCTAATTTTTCCTCTTCAGTTTTCTACCTAGTACCTACTTAAGGAACTCTAGATCTGATTCAGGAAATGCCTCTGCTTGTTTTCCTTCATTCTGATTCAGAGAGTTCTCAACGATTGGTCGGCTGCATTCTTTGAGATTTTCAAAACGGGACCAAACCACATGGACGAAGCCCATTCGAAGGCAGCTGCATCAGGCCAGGAGAAGTTTGTATCAATCGACGAGTATCTTGATGGATACTTGATGGAGAGAAAGAATAGATATGGGAAGAAGATAGAAGTGTTGGATCTAGGAATGCAGGAAATAAGAACATATTTTAGGCTATTTTTGTTGTCATCAGTCCTATTGTTGTTCATGTTTTGTTCTAGGATTTCTAAGAGCATGTCTAGCAGACCTATTGTCTCAGCTTTACCTCTCTAAGAGACAGGTTTGAGAGACAGAGATTGTATGTTGTATTCTTTTTTTAGTAAGATGATCTGATCATTGTAATTAAAACTTGATGTACACCATTTTTGGCCCTTCATGGAGATTGAGTTGTTCCAATACCAAAGTTGATAAGTTGTCGGTAAGGAGGGGTGGGATTCTATCAGATCGGGTGTTGTAACGAATTGTAAAATTGACAATGCTGTAAAGTAAAGAACACCTAGATTTACGTGGCTCACTAATATGATTCATGTTAGCTAATCCACGAGTAAGAGATATCAGTTTCACTATATTTGAGCAGATATATTATATATAGTACCGTAATTGAGAGTGTATATATATAACATAAAAATGTTAGAGACCAGGCCAAAACAGTAAAACGTAGCAACCAGGAAAGTTACTTAAGTACTTCTGTGAAGAAACAAAACGAATATGTAACACCTGCAGTGTGAAGAAGAAACTCTCAATCGGTTTGTATAATACAAGAAACTAGGTAGAGGACGTGCCTAGAAAAGCAAGCTTGCGTCTTAAATGCAAGGAGAGCGAGCGTGAAGCTCCATTTACATCTTTACAAGCTTTGAGTTTCCTTGCTTTGGTGCATACTCCGGAATCATTGTGAGCAACAACGTATAAACCATGGCCCTGCATACTCCGGCATCATTGTGAGCAGTGAGCAGTCCAAATGAATTCACCATATGATGTCAAATACCGTCGGTAAACAAGCTAACCGGAAGCCCAACTAGTGACAGCAGCAAAACGACCGCTTTGATTAGCAACCCGCCCCAACCCTATTTTGTGATCTCTTTCCCTCTGCTGCCTCTCGCCGCGCGCGCGAACGGAGCTTCTCCTTTCTCTCCAGTCTCCAGTCTCCATCTTCGTCCTCACTCCTCTCTGTCTCCACCTCACCACGCCGAGAAGACGAGAATCCTGCTTCCCGGACCCAGCACCGCGCCATCCTCACCCGCCTCGACGGCGGCCGACGCGCGGCGTTCCAACTCCTCGTCGTCGGAGCTTCCCTGCTCGCTGTTCTCGACTTCAGGTTAGGGCAAGGGTAAGTTAAAATTTGTTTGTGATTTTGTGTTAGTCGAGTTCTGATTAGGGATTTGTTGAATTGAATTTGGGATTTTGTTTGTGTTAAGTTAACTGTTCGGGAAGCTTGAGTGGAGCAGAGGAGCAGCTCATTTTGCGGATTCTGTGTAAAGGAGCAGCAAGCCAGCAGCAGAGCTGCATCAAGCCTTTCCTTTCCGGTTAAAGCAATGGTCTTCTCTTGTTGCACTTTCAAGTGTTTGCTTGCAAACAGGTTTGAGCTGGGGTTACTCTCATTATCATCTGATCTTTCTGCATCTTTGTTTGGTTTCAGAAGAATCATGCAGCATCAATAGGGATGTGCTCTACGAGCTATTTTCACATTGTTAGGAAAGTTCAGGGCATAACTTGCCGGCGTTATTCCACAAGCTACACTGCCAAAGTCACCTCAGCATCTCCAACAGGCCGTGTGCTCTCTGCTGAGGTCTCTCCAGCCCATCCTCTCGACCCCCGGGGGTATCTCCTCCCTCGCCGCCACCTCATTTGTAAGGTGACACAACTCCTTCGTCAATCTGACCATGACAACTGTCACCCTTCTTCCGCTCGACCGAAGCTCAACCCTGCTCTCCACCTTGAAGATTACCTCTCTTCCCTCACCATCGTCCTTACCTCTAATGAAGTCTGTGAAATTATGAAATCTCTGAATTCCGCTTCACTTGCCATCAAATTCTTCCGGATCTGCCCGTCTCTCTGCCCCAAATTTCGGCACAATTGCTTCACCTACACGCGGCTCATCCTCATCATTTCAAGGTCAAATCTTCCCAACAAGCTGGAGCTTGTTAGGGGGATGGTTTCCGAGATGCGGAAGAATGGGGTTCGTGGGTCCATCTCTACGGTGAACATATTGATAGGATGTTTTGGGGAGGGCAGGGATTTGGAGGGTTGCATTGAGCTGTTGAAGAATTGGGACTTGGAAATGACAGCCTATACTTATAAGTGTTTGGTCCAAGCGTATTTAAGGTCTCGTGATAGCGTGAAAGGGTTTAGGGTTTATGAGAAGATGAAGCTTGAAGGGTACAAGCTTGATATTTTTGCTTACAATATGCTCTTGAATGCTTTGACAAATGATGATAAGGTTTGGCCTCTTTTTCCTTTCCTCTCTTTTCCCCCCTTCAGTTGAGTTTTGAAAATTGAATGATAGCTTGGACTGGCTGAAATAAACTTGGATCGTATTGCCAGTTTATACTTTTTATATATATTTTTTTTGGGTAGGATTTTATACTTTATATTGATATACTGTCACTTGCTTTTGTTTTTAGTTAGGTTCTGTCTCTTGCTTTTCTTATTGGTCACTATTTCCAACCAATGTTTGTGGTGCTCTATGTATCCTAATTTTCTGATATATAGCTTTATGACAGATAAACGAGGCCTGTTTGGTGTTTGAGGATATGAAAAGGAACCATTGTGCGCCCGATGAGTACACGTACACAATTATGATCAAATTGAGTGGGAAGACGGGCAAACATGATGGAGCATTGACATTCTTTGAAGAAATGTTAAACAAGGGCTATTCTCCTAATATAGTTGCTTATAATACAATGCTTCAGGTACTCACAAGTAGCAGAAATGTCAACAAGGCTATTTTACTTTTCTCTAAGATGGTGGAGAAGGGCTGTCGCCCAAACGAATACACATATCATCTCCTCCTCAATCTCCTGGCTGCAGTTGGGAAGCTTCATAAGCTGGATGAGATGGTTGAATTATCAAAGAAATACATGACAAGATCAATTTATGCATACCTCGTGAGAACGCTCAGTAAACTGGGCCATGCAAGTGAGGCACACCGATTCTTTTGCAACATGTGGAGCTTTCATGACAAAGGTGATAAAGATGCATGCATTTCCATGCTGGAAAGTTTGTGTAGTGCTGGTAAAACAACTGAGGCAATCGATCTCTTAGGCAAACTTCCCGAGAAAGGGGTTGATACTGATACAATGATGTATAATATGGTGCTCTCTGCTCTTGGAAAATGGAAGGAGATACCTCATCTTCACGATATGTATGAAACCATGAAAAACAAAGGGCCCTCACCGGACACTTTCACTTACAACATTCTGATCTCAAGCTTTGGTAGGGTGGGGAAGGTTGACGACGCTGTAAGAATATTTGAAGAACTTGAGAATAGCGAGTGTGTACCGGATATTATCTCCTACAATTCATTGATTAATTGTCTTGGGAAGAATGGTGATGTTGATGCAGCTCACATGAAATTCAGAGAAATGAGGGAAAAAGGATTGAACCCTGATGTTGTGACATATAGCACTCTCATAGAGTGCTTTGGCAAGACAGAGAAAGTTGAGATGGCATGCAAACTGTTCGATGAGATGCTGGATGAAGGTTGCTACCCTAATATTGTGACATACAACATTCTGCTCGACTGTCTTGAGAGGAGTGGAAAAACTGCTGAAGCTGTGGATTTGTATGCAAAACTTAAACAGAATGGCCTATCACCCGATTCAATTACTTATGCAGTGCTTGAGCGCTTGCAAAGTGGTTCGCGCAAGAAGTTTAGAATGCGAAAGCAGCATCCAATCACTGGTTGGGTTGTCAGCACATTATGATGAACGTCGAATATTGCTGAAGCTGCCCAATACCCAAAGTGAAGTGAGGGTAGTTATCTGCATAGGTACTGCCTCTTATTGAAATATATCCTCCACTTGAATGAGGCAGTATTGGGTATCTGGGGTTGAATTAGAGGATCTTTTGTCTGCTGCATAACCACTTCTCTCTGAACGTCATCTTGTCCAACATCCCGAAACACCAGAATCTGGATATGATTGGGGGGATTATCGTACCAGACAGATTTACTGGTACATATAGATTCTTCTCAGTCTTGTCCTTTTCATACACTATCTACTCCATTGCTTAATGAGTTGTGATGGTTGGGAAAGATGGACCTAGAGTTCCAGTGTTAAATGGTTCTGAAATATGTGCTTGACCATCGGAACTGACAGCTTGATAGAGTTGCAGTAAATTGAAGATTTAATTGTCCTGTATTCTCCATTTTTCCTTCTGCTACAGTTCAAGAATATTACATTATAGTATTCTTTTTTGATAAGCAGCCTGGATAGGATAATTTTGAGGAAAATTATATTAACTGGGGTTGCAAGACTTTGTTCCTTATTGTTCTCGGAGTTGAAATTACTTTATGTTTACTGTGGCGTGTCTTCTTGATTATGGTAAATTTTGTTTGTCCATCGATGTTGTTCTGCTGCAGCTATTCTCAAAGGATATCAAAGCGGAAGGCCACTGCAAGATACATGTTCCATAACCCAGAAGATGTTAGATGGTTCAAGGTAATAGAACGTAACGTGTTATCTATCAATGCCTCGTCGATTTTCAGCCTATGTTGTTTAGCTTGTGAAATCCATGTATTATTGCGATTGATGATGCCATGTTATGCTTACAGCCTGTTGAAGTTTTCTCGAGATACAAACGTGCTTACCCCAAGTGGGCAGACCATCGTTACCCTATGGCCGATGCTTGACCATGGGGCACAACAAATGACAAGACTTGAGCTATATCTATAAAGGTTCAGGAGTCGTTTGCTTCAAGGATTTGGTACATGGATTTGGTACCAAAAAACCAACTATCAAGGATTTAGGTACAATCCGTTGTTTGCTTGCATCTTTTTTGGAGACCAAATCCGTGGGGCCCACGGATTTTAAGGGTCCAAATCCGTGGACCCCACGGACTTATAAATCCCACATGTTGATGTGGGATTTGGAATATGGCATAAATCCTTGATGAGATTTTACCCATATACCCTCATGCACTTTTAATATTCCAAGGTTGCCCTCAAATTTAATTATTATACATTATAATTAACAATAAATGAATAATATAAACGTTCAATTAATGTGCAAACATGAGTTAGATTTTTATATCATTTCTTGTGTTCTAGTTTTCTTTGACCTTTTCATGGAACGTGTAATTCTTTGTTCTCCCGATTCTAATATATGTTGTTATATGTTACTTTTGAAAAGGAGGACAAAGAATTGGTAATTGATTATGTTACGTTAAAAGTTAAAACATAATTTTCTCGTTTATTATTATTGTCCATGTGACAACATTATGCTTATTAGTATGTATTGTCCTTGTTTTGTGTACATATCATAAACATGTCAAACATATAGAAAATGATAGTACGGTAATTTTGAAGTTTTGTCCTTGTTTTGTGTACATATCATAAACATGTCAAACATATAGAAAAGGGCAGTAATGTAATTTTTGACTTCAAGTAGTAAATCTCACACCTTTAAATCCATGATAAAAACATCCCAACAAACAAAGGATTGTTATAAATCCATGATGCCTCAAATCCTTGATAAATCCTTGGGTTTTTAAATTACAAAACCCTCTTTTTTAAATCCATGAAGCAAACGAACCCTCAGTCTGCGGGAATGAAGCTATGGTTCAGATTTGGAAATTTTCAGGTTTCCTGTTTTCCCGGAGAAACAGGGAAATCAGCTTTCTGAGTGGTCACGGCCCACGGGATATGACTCTACATGGGAATCAGTCTTTCTGAGTGGCCACGGTGTATGACTGTCCCTTGGCCTCCGCTAGATTAAGTTATATAATCCACATTTGTATTTGTATATTGTTTGTTGTGTTGGTAGAAAACAAGTTCCTTAGCGGATGAAGCAGAGTGATATGAAATGCTGTAATATTTATCCGCCTACAGCTCGTATTGGTAAATTTTGTTCAGTGCATTCCATGCTTCTATTGGTTCCATTCATTTGTGACCTGATCTGATCACCTTGTGAGTAGCCAAATTTGAAGTTACCACAAACTTGTTGCCCGAAATAGTGAGACTAGTGGTCCAGGGTAATATTAGAAGTATTATGGCAAATATCGTAGTAGATGACCGTCGGTGTCTCTCAGTTGCGTTGGGTCGAGTAAAATGATCGATTGTGAACATGATTATGGGAGCAATGTTGCTAGATTCTCAACCGGACCTAGAAGATACAAGGCTAGTTAATCATGGATCATTTGCAAGTCCATTGTTTGATCGATGCAATGGCCATGCTACCAGTTAACTAAGAATTAACCAATGAATTTGTCGAGAAATAAAGCGATGGATTGATCCCTAAATCAACTCATAAATTGGCCTGCTAACGTCGCAACTTTCTATGATCAATCAAATCGCGGCATAAGCACCAAATTTATTTGAACTGACCAACTATTAACAGAAGATAATCTCTAGAGCCATGCAGAGCTTCTAACATTACTGCATGAAAATGGAGGCAAAAAATAAAAGCTGTTCTATCCGAGTACAATTTGGCCAGTCAAGCTGGGCTTGTCGCTCTCTAAGCGGAACGACTTTTCCAAAATATGGAATCACAAGCCATTTCTTCAACTAACGTTTACAGTACAACATCTCTGGTTGCCTTGGTAATTGGCATCAAATCAAGGGCAGTGGATCTCCAGAAGTGTAGATTAAACTTTAGGATTCCCCTGGAGGCAACTCGGGCATCTTTGGGGAGGAACCGAGCACTCGTTCCATATCAAATCGAACTTCAATGTTGCGTATGCTGTAGCCAACCACCATCAGCCAGTAGAGCAGCTTCCCTAGTTCGGTTGCACTGGTCTCTGCCGTGCTCTGCAAGAGAAATTTTATAGTGCTTATCAAAATCAATGACAGGACCGACTAAACTTGAATAGAAAGTATAGATAAGGAGGAGATTGTCAGGCCGATTAAATCAAGTTTACCAAAGGCTAAAACTCTGCAGTTTGTGGGTTTAATTTGCCAGAATTAACAGATCCGTAGAATCAGAGACCAGGAAATTCCATTTGTCTACAGAGAAATGCTGCTTGACAAATTACTATTCTCAGCAAGTCCCAATTACGAAATCGGTAGAACTGCTCTACACAAGACCATGTTCCTGATGCTTCTAAATCTACTGTAAGAGGAATCTCAAGAAATGTGTTGTTGTGACAAAGAGTTTAATTGATGGGCAAACCTTCATCTTCTCGGGATCTGTCACCACCAACAGGCGCTTAATGAACGAGTTCATTGCAACAACAGCATCTTCTCCAGCACTACTCGTCAACTCCTACACATCCATGGAAAGCATGATCCAAAGTCAGATTATCAGTCAGAATTAAACATACTGTTTTTAAAACTATTCATATGCACGATATCACCATAATAAGGCAATCATCGATAATGAATAACACCACTACAACTACATCTTAGTCCAGTCTGACCTTGATATTCTGGGGTTCGAGAGTCCTGAGGTAATCCAGCAACTCATTTCCGCCATGCGAGGACTTCCTACCAACTTGTCGATTCAGTTCCTCAAGCTCTGCTTCGAGTATTTCAATGTACTTTTTAGCATCGATTGTTTCAGGACCAGAGACATTGTTCCACCTGATAACTTCACCACTCACATTCTTCTGCGTACCGGGTGCATAATCTGTATTGTCCAGCTACATCAAAAGCACCGTTATCATTCTACTTAACCTTGAGGATGTCTAGTATGAGTACACACTTGATGCACGTTCCTAATTAACCGATTAAGAAAAAAAAAACAAATTGAATTATCCACAGATACGCACAGCGAAATTCTGATCAATGAGCGTTGCATACTATGGACCTAGAAGCAATGAGGCATCTACCTGTTTTTCCTTCACATCAGGAAGAGCAACGTGCTCCAAGCTCTCCTGGAGCTCTAGCCGGTATTGAGCATTCCTAAACATGTAACCAGTCATCAATACACTGTACATAAGCTGCGCAAGATTTTCAGCTACCTGAAACCCCGAAACATCAACACATTACTTCCGCCATCAAACGATCCTCGCCCACTTAACTGCATTACCACAAAACACAGCATATCCGACTTACAGTGCTAATAGTTACAGCAAAGAACTGTGGAGGTAGAGTCCCAATCATATTGGACACAGTCTGCCGCATTGCATCAACCACCTAAACCAAAGTAAATTGAACCAAAGAAGTCTAAGTTTTGACAAAACCATTCAAAAGGGAAAACGAAAGGATCAAACTTTTACTAACCTGCGGGGATGCCCGCTTGGAAAAGAGCTCCATAAATTCAGGCTGCACGGTCTTCACATACTCCATCAGAATTTCTCTCCTGCTCCTCTGTCCAATTCCCAAATTCGATTTTTACACAGAATTCCAAACCCAGAAACCAAAAATACAGGGGGTAAAAGAAATTCCAATTAACCGGAAGCGGAAATAGTGAAGGAAAGGTAAAGGGTACCAGAGCGCCATTAGTGTCATTAGACCCATCTGATTTAGCAGCTCCACTAGCTTGGACTCTCAGCACCAACCTTCCTCTTCCACCGCCACCACCATTCTTCGCTCTCCAATGAAAACTCACCGAAGAAGAAGGCAACCGAGGCCCATTGGACAAAGAAGAAGATAACTTAGGTAGAAAAATGGATGGTTTCGCAGTCAAAGAGTTCATCTCTCCTCCCCACTAGTTCGTTCCTCTCGAAGTAAAATTCAGCTGCAGATGCAATTTGAGATGAGCTTCAGAAGATCCTTAAATCGCAGCTGTCGACATCAGAGGAAGAGAGAGAGAGATAAAAAAGAGTGTGTCGGTGAATGAGGTTAGGGGCGAAGCTTACAGCGGCGCTGCCTGCCGCCGGCAATTGGGGTTTGTTAATGGCTGCCGGAAATGGATTGGATTTTGGGGTCTGTTGGGCGTTGAAAAAAGTTGTTGGAATATTGAACTGGCGATGGTTCCCACAGTAGCAGCATAGGGTCTTTTCCAAACGATTACAAGTAGGGGTGGAAATCGGTACGGTATCGGTATCCCAATACCAAATACCGAAATTTCGAATACCAAATTACACCCTGAAATCAATCCCAATTCCAATCCCTAAATAATTTCGGTATCCCAATCCCAATCCCTAAATAATTTCGGTATCCCAATCGGTACCTCGGTATCCCAATTGGTATTATCAAATAAAAAATTAATTACGTTTGCCATTAATAATTAAATATATAAATTAGATTTTATTTTTTTTATTTAGGGCAAAGAGACTAAGCAAAGAGTCTTAAGTTGCCTAGAGCTAACATCTCAAGTTTTTGTAATTGGTAATCTTTAATTTGATGAATTTGAGATTGAGAGACGACTAATACTAGTGTGAAATAGTGATATAATGATCTATGTATAATTAAATGACACTTTTAGTGGTCGAGGGTCGCGTAGAAGTGAATGGAAGAGTTTAGTTGAGAGAATAAAATACACACTAGCTTATATTTCGGTATTGATCGGTATTTCGGTATATACTGATCCCAATCCCGTAATCCCTAATACCGAATAACAATTGAAACTCAATCCCAATCCCAATCCCACAAAATAATACGTGTATTCGGTAATACCAAATATAGACAAATTCGGTACGGCATTCGGTATATCCCAAATACCGATACCAAACTTCCAGCCCTAATTACAAGTATACCTGGGCCGTTGGTAGGATGTGAATCCAACCCGTAACTATGGGTACTCTACCCGATCGTAACCGGTCAACGAGGGTAATTATCCGCTTTGACGGGTTAAGGGGTTGGTACGGGTAATACCCAGTTTCAAAATAAAGGGTAGGGTACGGGTATGGTAATCGATAATACCCGCCTCGCTAACCAAATGGTCAATTTTCCTTGAGAAATTTAGTTTAGCTTGAGAAATTTAGTTTAGCTACCATTATTGTTGAAGAAGATGTAGACGATTATTATGTTTGTGTGGATTGTAGAAGTAAGAACAATTATTATGTGTTTGCTGTTTTTATTTGTGTGGATTGTTGAATCTAGAACAGTTACAAGTATTGATCATTTTTAATGGAGAACAGTATGTATTTGCATATATGTGTATAAGTTCATAGTTTAGGATTCGTACCCATGGTTACCCGAATACCCGTTGTTACCCGGTGGGTAGGGTATGGTTATATAATTTTCATACCCGGTGATTATTTGGTCGGGTATTTAAGAAGGCTCTACCCGGCTGGTTAGGAGTTGGTATAGGGTAAACCCGCACCCGACCCTACCTATTGCCATCCCTAGCCGTTGGGCCGTGTTTAGGCCGACACGTAGGGATAGTAATGGATCAGGCTGGGTCGGGTTTTGCCAAATCCAAACCCAAATTCATGAGTTTATCCTTGAAAAAAGGTCGAGGTAAACCCAACTGTGTTTGGAAAACTCAAACCCAACCCAACATCCGTGGGGTCATGGGTAACCTTTGGTTTTTATCGTAAGAAATTTACAATAACAAGTTCTTATCAAAATAAAAGTCAAATATCAATATCTTCATATAAATAACCCATATATAAAATACTATTCTAGAAAATTCAAAGTAAATCACAAATTATACCATACAAATTGTTCAACACCAATATAGAAAACTCAAGAAAATTGAAGCAAATCACAAATCATCCATAAACAACATGATTAATTGAAAGCTTCTTCTTCCTTGTCAATTAAGCTTCTTCACTCTCCACTCTATAATATCAACTTCATTTTACACAATTATAAAGAAAAAATTAAACATGGCTCCACAAATATAAAGAAGATGAGTTGTTTAGAATATTAAATATTCCGAGAAAATTAATTATATGGGTGTGGGCGGGTATCTATAGGGCGAGTATATTTAAACCCAAACCCAAACCCAACCCAACTTGGTGAATAGTTAAGGGATTAAACCCCAACCTGACCCAAAATCCGTGTTGACCGGGTTGGGTCAGGTAGGGTACCCGTGGGTTCGGGTTTTGTTGCCATCCCTACCGACACGGCACGTGCATGCTTCGGGTTGTGACATACTAGCTCATTTTCTAAATTTTGTGAAATCACAAAATGACCTTTGGAAACGAAAGTTGAACATACCACAATCGATTGTTTTTAGTTCTGAAGATTTCAAAAATAAGCAAAATAAAAAAAAATTTACGTTGATCTGATAACCAAATACAAAGTTATCGTCGTTTGATTTTTCCCTTCATATATCAAACATATATTGCTGAGGTCTAAAGCGATTTGTATGCAATCTGTTGCAAATCTCTGAGGTCTCAAGCGATCAGTTACAAATCACTTTTTTTTTGAATAGTTACAAAATCACTTTTGACTGAAGCAATCTGTCTCAAAATATGTGTACTTTCGTAATTTCTTAAAAATTGTTGTATTTTAATTTTTTTATTTATAAAAACGTGTGTAGTTAGGAAAAAAAAAATCACGGGGGCGTCTATTTAACACGCCAAGTCAAGTCCACTCCCGTCTCAACAGAGTCCAAACAGATTCAATGGGCTTTTTTCAGCAGTCCACAATCCAGCCATAGAAGCAAAATACCGCATCCTTTATTCCTTCCATTCGGGCGGTTTGGTTTTGTTGCTTCCGCCAAATCCCAGCGCATTCCCCGATTGATTCTCCGTTTTCTTCCCCCCACCCGATGCCGGAGTTCTAGCGCCCGCCGGCGGATCCATCTATCCAGTTTCCCTTTTTGCAACTCCATTTTCTCCGTCCCTTTTGCTAACTTCAGATAATTCATCGATTACCGCCGCAGAAGAAGAACAAAAGAATTCACGAAAAGCTGGGGAGCTTCGGGAAGACAGGGATCGAAAGGAAGAGAATGGCGTTCCACAGGCGGCGCCACAACTATTACAATGGCCTCCGTTCTCTTCTCCCCTTGATCTCCGCCGTCTCCGGATTCCTCCTCATCCTCCTCGCCGTCCTCTTGTTCCTCGCCCCTTCCCCGAACGATTCCGGCGACATGTACAACAATCGCCTCCGCCACGCGACCGACGACGATGAGGCCGATACGGAGTCGGCGGCGGGAGTCAGCCAGCCCGTATTCCGCGTGCCGGTTAGGGATTTGTGAATTGGATTTCTTCAGCTTCGCGAGCTACTTTTCTTTTTTGGTGTCGTATTGTTCGCTGATTTGATTTGATTTTGATATTCTTTTACTGTTTGGGGGTGCAGGATCGTGGTGGAGCATTGGATCGTGATATTTGGAGCTCGAGGAATTCCAAGTTCTTCTATGGCTGCAGCAACGCCAGCCATAGTTTTCGGAGTAAGTAGATGGCCTTTTTTTCTTCCTTCATTTGGATTTGTCTGAATTGCTTCGTTAATCGGCAATTATGGTAATTGCTGTGTCACGATCGTACTGTATACATATGCTCGTAAGTCGTAATGGATAATAATTTGCATTAAAATTTTAATTTGTTTGGTTACTCGTTCTGTGAGTTTCGCATCTATGTCAAGTCAACCCATGCCATATGTTTTGATTGCAGATGCTGACGCTATTACGAAGCCAGATCGATATTTGCTGATCGCTACAAGTGGAGGTTTGAATCAACAGAGGACCGGGGTATGTTCATGAGATCATCCTTTGTAGTAGCTGATCTAAGTTATTTATGCTTTCCATTTTAATTGTATAATCAAACATATCTGCTTCCTTGCTAAATGGTTGCTCTTTTGGGGATTATGGATAGACTAAAGTAGATCAATATTCATCCCATAATTGTGAAATTGAAACCCCACCGGTTTGGTGTGAATTTGCAAGATCATGAAGGGTCAAGTAAAGAACCTAGTTGTTACCATCCTTTGTGTTGGAATTCATAGAACTATGGTGAGAGAATGAAGACGGTGTTTGTCCTTGTAAATGTTCTGTTAATTTTGAGTTTTGTAGTGGGCTCGCTGAATATTTTCCATGAAGATCTTTTGCGATATAGATAAAAACCTTTTCAGCTAAGATATAATTTCTTTTATTAGGTTTGATTCCCATTCTTTTGCAGATTACAGATGCGGTTGTTGCTGCTCGAATTCTTAATGCCACTCTTGTCGTGCCTAAGCTGGACCAGAAATCATTTTGGAAGGATTCAAGGTTACTGCGAATGATGCCTTTTCAGTATTTTAGAACTTCCTAGTTTGTCTAGTTTCCAATGATCTTATAAGCATTATTTTTCTTCCATTTCTGCAGTAATTTTTCAGAGATCTTCGATGTTGATTGGTTTATCTCTTCACTAAAAAATGATGTCAAAATAATAAAAGAGTTACCAAGAAAGGGTGGGAAGACTTGGACTCCCCATAACATGCGTGTTGCAAGGAAGTGTAGTGAAAGGTGCTATGAAACCCGTGTATTACCTGCTCTTTTGAAAAGGCATGTAAGTTCTAAGTCATCCATTCTTCTTAACCTATTTTGTTATACATATCTTTGACTTAGGATATATTCAGCATGTGGAGTTCAGGTTGCTTAGCTTATACTTCAATATATTTTCTGCTCCGTTTGCTTGTTTCAAATTGACGTTCCTTTTGAAATATTGCATGAGGTTGTCCCCTTTCTTTATATTTGAAGTGAATCTTTGCTAGCTGACAGACTTAATTGGTGATGTAAATGTAGGCTCAGATAAGTTTCTGTCTGAAAGAGCCTTGGGCTATGCATATAATTTTTGTGATAGGTCATGAGGCCTTTGAAATGAAAAGAAGTGGCCTTTTGAGAACCTGATTGTGTGGATGCACGGGTTTGAAAGACACTCATTGGGTAATTTTGAGGCAACTGTCACATCAACTTCAAATATGCTATTCTTGCAAGACATAATGAAAATATACGCAACTGCATGGAATTACATTCCCGCTGGATATCTTACTGTCCAGAGTATTCATCTGCTCTTAACTTTGTAACAGGCAATTCAGTTAGGCAAGTTTGACTACAGGCTGGCAAATAGGTTGGATACACAGCTTCAGAAGTTGCGATGCCGAGCTAACTACCATGGTTTAAGGTTCACCGAGCCAATTCGAAAAATGGGTGAGATGTTGGTCAACAGAATGAGGTCGAGAAGCAAGCATTATATTACATTGCACCTTAGGTACAGTTTCTGTTTTACCCTCAACAGTTTGGCTATCCTGTCAAAATTCTCACTTCCTGCATAATAGTGCTAAGAATCTGAGACCTGGCTGAAATCTGTTCAACATAATGTCAAACTGGGAAAGTCAGTAACACTGGACCATAAAATGGCTTCTACCTGCTCACACTTTCTAGACTATTGAAAAATGTTGGGGTTTCTTTATTCTTTGCTTGAATATTAAGTGACTTTTTTGTAGTTCCCAAATGAACACTCTTGTAAAGCTCTTTTCCAACTATACTTCATATGTGAATACATCAAAGTCACATAGATTTGTTTTTCTTTTAACTTAGGCGTTTCCTGCTGCAGGTTTGAACCTGATATGTTGGCATTCTCTGGCTGCTACTATGGTGGAGGTGATAGGGAAGATAAAGACCTGAGTGCCATACGGAAGAGGTGGAAAACCTTGCATGTAAGATTCAACTCATATGCCTGCAACTTTCTTCTACTGTTTTTATTATGAACTTCCCTTTGGTTCTCTGTTTACATTGCAAAAACTGGTGTGGAAAGAGGAAGTCTTTCTGGCAAAATTAGCCATCTAGGTTTAATCTACCATGACGGAAAGTCTGATCTTCCAATCTGAAAACAATAGGTAATCAAGAATCTGTTGCAGAAGCCTTTCTTTTAGAGCAGATATACTGTAAATAATTCATGTCAAAATGTCTAAACCTCAGCTTAAACTCTCTTCAATATCTCATGGGACTTCAGACAGATCCTAGTTCTGAAGTTTCACCAACACTTTGAAAATGTCGCCAGTCTTCTCTGAACTACTTGATTAGTTTCTTTTCACATGGCTGCTGCCAAATGATTTGAGTTTGTTTCTTATATGGTGTTGAGAGTTAATGAGGTTTGCTTGTTTTATCTGGCACAGTCAAAGAACCCTGAGAAGGAAAGAAGGCATGGGAAATGCCCACTCACTCCACACGAAGTTGGTCTTATGTTGAGGGCATTGGGTTATGGCAGTGATGTCCACATATATGTGGCCTCAGGAGAAGTTTACCGGGGGGAAGAGACATTGGCCCCTCTAAAAGCACTCTTCCCCAACTTCTATACAAAGGATACTCTTGCAAGCCGCGAGGAGTTACAACCATTCTCTTCATTTTCCTCGAGGATGGCTGCACTTGACTTCATTGTTTGTGACGAAAGTGATGTGTTTGTGACAAATAATAATGGCAACATGGCAAAAATCTTAGCTGGGCGTAGGTGATTGATCCCTTCCCTTCCCTTCCCTCCTTCACGTCTATGCCTGGTAGGTAATTTCTTTCTGTTATTATTGACTCATTTCATGGATTTGCAATCAAATTGTGCAGGAGATATTTTGGACACAAGCCTACTATTCGACCAAACGCTAAGAAGCTCTACCGCTTGTTCTTGAACCAGAACAACATGACTTGGGAGGCATTCGCTTCTAGAGTTCGCACGTACCAGAAGGGCTTCATGGGCGAACCAAAAGAGGTTAGACCCGGCAGGGGAGAGTTTCACGAGAATCCTCATACCTGCATATGCGAGGAAACAGAAACAAAGACGAGAAAGGAATTGCGGCCTAGAAAATTAGGGAAAGGCTATAATAATGCAACCTCTGGAGAAGATTCCGAGAACCAAAACACAGAAAATGACCCAGATCCGCTCGATCCAGATACTGACGACGATCAAGATCTGGTGGAAGAGATAGGAGTTTTCAACAACACAAGTATGGATTATGATGGATTTAACTCCGAGGACCACGAGTTTGAGGACTTACTGTCTGACTGAAGCTGAACAGACTCTCTCATCATTTCCTGCATATATGAAACCTAATTTTTGCCTTCTGCCAAGAAAGAGAAAGCTCGCAAGGAGAGATGGGTGAGAAATGCTTGTTTCAGGGAGAAGTCTTGGCAGCTGTGCAATTGAAGGATAGCTGGTGGGTTATGCCGAGCTTGGATCATCATCATCGGCCTTCCCTTTTCCTTGCCCTTGAATCTTTCTATCCTTCGCTCCCCGGTACCGTCTGACATCATTGGTTATCAGAGGCTTGCAGGTGAGAAACTGAGTGTCTCTGATGAATCCTCTGCTAGCTCTTCTGAAAGTCGGTGCGAAGATAGAGCAGGACAATGTACTGGATAGCCTTGCCTTTGACTAGTTAAGCTTCTTTCTTTGGCTAGGTAGGATACAGAGGCTAGACGAAGAAAAGAAGGCCTGTAATTTTTGTAACCTCCTTTTGAAACTTATTGTTAACTTACCAGCAAAGCATGCCCCTTGGAGATGGGGGCATAAAATCCTAGGTTAGGGAGTTTGGTTGTTTATGCCAACTTTTAGGAGACTGGAGTTAGGGTTTTATACAGCTGTAGTTGAATTTCATTATCTTGGAAGAGATTGTACAAAGTAACAGATATATTGTTTCAGTTTCTCTGGCAAGACCATTCCTCAGTGTTCTAGCCCCATGATATTTGTTACGACATTCGCTTCGGCTTTCCGTGGTGCTTTATTTTGCATAATCTTCGTACCAAATCAATCCTTATCTGACCACTAAATTAACATATCTCTTGAAACTTATTAGCACTGAACTAATGGAACTCAAAAGAAGAAGTCACTCAGAATACGAAAAGGAAATATATACAATCTACAAGTTATCGTCTCAATCGTCAATATATTATTGGACATGGACCAACCTTGGACCACCGCTCACTTCCACAATCTAATTTGAAGGGAGAAATTGTAGAGCCCATTAAGATGAATGAAATTAATCTCTCCCATAAGAAAAGGATATTGAACAACAATAAATGCGTCTTATCAACGATTGAAGTTATCTAACAAACTAATTTGCTGCATATATGGTTAAAAATTGACATATATACTAGTTGATTGAATCAAAACATCGAGCAATTCGATTTTGATATGAGAAGCTCTTAATTGATTGATTCTACCTTAAATATATGCCAATGCAAGCTCGATTAAAACGAGTAAGCGAGAAGAAATATTGGCTATAAAAGAGTTCCAACTACAATGCTGGGAACTGCTGCAGTTCTTCTGTGAACTCTTTATATCTCAAACACTTGCATACGTGTTTGCTTAGCTGCTTCTTGGCAGCCATATAAGCTTCAACTGATTGGCTTCCTCTCTTCCTTCTGAGTGATGATTGAAGCTCTTCCAGGATCTCCTTTATTTGTGAGAGGATGTCTCTTGTGAAACCACAAAAATCTAGCAACCTGAGGGATCCGTAAAGTGCCTTATCGATTGAGTTATTGTTGGAGATTGATTTTTGGGTTGCTTGCAGCTGAAGGTAATCGTCGATGGATTGATACAACTCCTTGAGACCACTCAAATTAGATGATGAGGATGTTGGCTGAGAGGATCTCAGCCTCTCCAACTGATGGATCGAACATGGCAAGCAGAAGCCATTTCTTCGTCGGTTATTTCCTTGATCTGAATGTTGAGATTGTAGCAATTTATAACAAGAAGAAGCTGAAATGCAATGCTTCGAATGAATTTGCTGTGATTAGGGGGACTTAAATATAAATGGGGAAGTCATAGGCAGATTAATAAAGGCTTACAATTGCTGTCAGGTAGAGGTGCTCCCTGACAAAACCGAGTTTTTCTCATCATTGCATAGTTGACGGGGAACATAGCAAGGGTAGCTGCAAGCGCCTTCATGGATCCCAGACAGAACCAAGACAGTGGATATATGTATGAATGACATTGGCTTGCATCTCTCCATGTGAAAGGCAATGGAGCTCCAACCCATTATGGCAGTGAGAGAGAGGGAGGGAAGCATGTGACAGCATATTGTATTGCATGAACCATTGCTGACAAACTTGTTCCCTGTTTCCTCTGTTTCTGCTCGGGATCCACCAGCAATGCTGCAAAATCAAATGTAAGAAAATGCTATATTATTTTCCCATACTAATATATTACATTCTCGATGCAATGAACTCAGTCGTGCAGCAGTGGAGTTGGCTGTGAATGCAGAACTCCAAGGCTGTCAAGATTCCAGCTGCTCCCACTCGAGCCACTCCCACCATGGCCATTTCTTATCGATAATGAGCTGCTTGTTTCAACGCCACAAGTTCTTAATTACTCAAATGAGTCTGATGTATTTCATTTCCCACCAAATGGGTACTAATTGATCACATTTTATATAGCCTTCAGCAGCTTCAAGATTATCATGTTGCTGGAGCAGAAAGAAACAACGACAGGAAACCCATTTCTTTGTGTTTATCTGATAGCCGTTTAGCTTTGCTCTGCATCAAGCAATAATGCTTCTGTCTGTCGTTCATGCAGCAACCCGATCTGATCCAGCCATATTTAACTCCCAGAGTCAACTTTGTGAATTCAGAGAGCCACCCAATTCCACAGGGACACCAAACTCTGGTTCCCAATATATAAAGAAGACCAGTACGAGGGTTTGGCTTCAACGCACATCTCAGAGACATTTCATCAAACATCTTCTCGTCTCCATTTCCAGCTACACCAAACAACAAAATGGTCGCCACTTGTCATGTCCGATCCATCAGTTTACCCACGAGAATTCACCCCACAACCCTCGCCGTCGAGGTCCAGCTTGAGAGGTTGAGATCCTCCGAATCCGCATCCACCTCGGACTCCACCACCCAATTGAGCATACTCAGAGAGCTCCACGAATGCGTCGACGACTTGCTCCAATTGCCCACAACCCAGAAATCCCTCTCCCAATCCATGGAGGAATCCCTGATTAACGAATCCCTCAGGTTACTGGAGATCTGCGGAGCCACAAAGGAAATCTTCGCCCAATTGAAGGATTGCGTGAAATTACTCGAATCCTCTTTGAGAAGGAAAAGTAGCAACTTGAACAGTGAAATCGACGCGTTCGTGAGCTCAACCAAGAGACTGAGGAAACTTGCCTGCAAAACCTTGAAATCCTCCAAGAAGACCAAATCTGCAGCAACAGATCCCGAACCCGAAGACTCCATCTTTGGGCTTCTGAAAGAAGTCGAATCAGCGAGCTTCAGCGCGTTTGAGTCCCTTCTGAGCTCGGTTTCTGGTGCTGAATCGCGTGGGTGGAGTGTTGTTTCAAAGTACTTGAAATCCAAACAGGACAAGGCGACTGAAATGGGGCAACTGCAGTCTGAACTGATGGTGTTGAGGTCGAATTCGAAAGCCGTGACTTCAGTTGAAGAAGTTCAGAAGGTTTTGAAAGGACTGGCAGGGATGGAATGGAGTCTTCAGGAATCTGAGGAGGAACTGGACTGTATTTATAGGAAACTCGTTAAAACCAGAGTTTCTTTCCTAAACATTCTAAATCATTAGCGCGCTCTTTGTCTATATGTAAACAAGAGCTATAAAATTTCTGTAAATATGTATAGAAAACAATTTTGCCAATTGATACTCTGAATACATGAACCAGTTTCATCGAATACATCCATTTTATCTTTCCACTTATATCCGATCGATCTGAATGTTTAAGGTGAAATCAGAATTTCACAGGTGTGATCAAATCACAGAAATCATGTAAAGGAGATTATGCATATTATTTATGTGGTTTTCTTCTTCGATGTGAACATGACTATTCTACGGAGAGCAATAAGCTCCCAATCATCTTTTTGAATCCCAATTACTTGCATCCACATTCGACGTAGATTGAATTTCCCAATTTTTTTTGTCTTGTTTCTTCTTCGCCATTGTATTTCCCCTCGCCTATCTCTTTCTAACACGATTACGGCGACCATGTCTATTATTGTGTTCATCAAACTTTTCATTTGCAAAAGAACCCTTGAAAGAGGTTTGCTAACCCTAGGGTTCATGTCACTAGTGCTTTGTCATCTTGTCTTAGCGTTATTGTGCTTTTCTCGAACCTTATATCTCTCGGTGAAATTTAGGTTTCCTGATATGTAGTGTTCGTCTCGCCCAGAGGATTGAGGAAGAAGATGAAGAACACATAAATTGATTCTAATCGGATGGAGAGGTCTCCTTAGTTTGTGTTTATGTATTAACGGTGCGTTTAGGAGTAATTCTAGTTGGACTGGGTCTGATCATTGATTTTTGCAGGCTTTTAAATAACATTCAAGCGTGGGCTTGTACATGACCCATGCAATATTCAAAAGTGGGCCTGGAACGTGCGAGCCCATTAGTTTTCTCCTGCGGTATCAGCGCCAACCCTAGTTTAACTAGCTTTACTTACCCTAGTTTAACCTACACGAGTTAACATCATCATTACTACATATCTTCCCAAATCTTCTAACTCTTGACATTCCTAACTCAACCGTCTCCATCACACGTCTCCACACTCAACCCCCACGATCACTTTTTCTTACACCTACAATCTCTCTTTCCTCCATCTTCACCTTCCCTTGTTCCTTCTTCCTCTGACTCCATGGCAAACAAAGGCAAATCGTTTGCGGAAATGGGCATACTAACTCTATCAAACGACGACTGCCGATCCACCCCAAGTCTCGGGGACTATCTTTCATTCACAAGCAAGACATCTATTGTGGCCGAGTACGAGTTCATCCACCTGAGTCCTTTCCCTCAAGAAGTGAAGCAGTTAATTAAAAATCTTGGCTGGGAAAAGTTCTTTGATCTCCGGAGTCGAGGAAACACCAGTTACTGCCCGCATGTGGTGAGGAAGTTCTACCACAATTTAGAGCTGTCTGGTTCCTCCGATTCTCATCTCGTGTCGATCTTCCTGGGTTATAGAGCCTGCTTCCAGCCTCATCAGTTTGCTGAGATCCTCGATCTCCTCGCCGCAGGACACCACATTGATAGCAGAAGCGATCTTCGGCGGCTGTACGATTTTGAGTTTGAAGTTGAACTGGCGAAACTGACGAATGGGCGCATCCAGGCTTCTTTCCTCCCAGATCCTCTTCGATTCCTCCATTGGATGATCGTCAACTGCTTCATGCCAAGGTACAGTCGTCAATCGATAATTCGTAAACTTGACCTTTTTATCCTTGTGCAAGCTCAAAGAGGTGTTCCTGTTAACCTCGCATCTCTCATGTGCCTGAACATGGTTGAGGCTGCTCCTAGAGGGGAAAACTGGTACACTGCCTTTCCATATGCCACCTTCTTGACCACCTTTCTTGAAAGGGTTGGGATGGATATGGGGGTTTATGCTAAGGAGTACGAGTGTGCCTATTTGCCAGTCTACCGTATCGCCGAATTGACCAATACTTTTATTGACCTTCGGCATACGGAGCATGAAGAGACCCCTGAGGCATCCTCAAGCAAACGTCCTCGGCTTACATGAGAGTCGATTGATGCAGGGTGGGGTGGAGCGTTGGAGCAGCAAAGGGGCCAGCATTGGATGTCTTTTGTTAAGAAGTTTACTGTAAGGCTTTGTTGTTTTTTTTTTCCAGTCTTTTTCTCCAGCACTCAAAACTGTCAGGTACTGAGGGGAGCCAGTACATCATCTGACTAGGAAAGTCTCCCATTTTTTTAATTATCCAGACAAATATTTTTCTATGCATGCAGTATTTTGTGAATTTGCCATGGCTAATTTCCCTAAGACAGGTGACGAGATGCAGTAATGGTCATCCCTAAGCAAGGAGGTGCAATTGCATCCTACACTTGATATGATGTGAGAAGCTATTGCAAGGGTGCAAATTTGGTTGCAATTGAAATTGGCCCACGAGTGGGGACTATTGATGAAATTGCAATGTTTTCTCAAAATTATAGAAGTGGAAGTAGGGACTACCTATGAAATTGCAAATGAATTTCATTGGGGGAGATTTTAATCCGCTTTTGTTCTAAGCAGTTCCAATTAGGTCGAAGTAGGGACTACCTATGAAATTGCAATGTTTTCGAAAATTATGGTTTTATTTAGAAGTTGAAGTAGGGACTACCTATGGAATTGCAATGTTTTCGAAAATTATGGTTTTATTTATATTTGGTCATAAGTATAGTGACGATGATAGGCGTGAATAGTATGGATATGACTTGATTATAATGATTTTTTTATCTATGGTGATTTTTCCCCCTTTTTCATCAAGACTCATGCTTCTTTTATCCCCCTGTGGATCTATCATGCTTCGTTTATAGTAAAATATCCTTTTAATTATACACAATAAAGAATCCATTAATTATGTATGCCTTTTTATTGTATTTATTACTACAATGAATTCTCTGACTAAAAGGGGAGTGAAAACATCGTTGGTGGAAATTCAAGGAATGGAATGATAAGGGCTGTGCATAAATTCAATTTCTGTAAATAATTAATGTTATTATTATTAGTTAGTAACGTCATTAGTTTTAGTTAGTGGGTTAGTGGCTCCTACTTTGTAGCTTCAATCTGTTCATGAGTTGGTACTTAAGCCACTCTCCTGATCAATGTAAATCACTACTTTTAATCCTTTACATGGAAGCCTTTCCATATCCTAGGAACATTAAATTAATTACATAAGAATTTTCTACCTGCCTTGTACTGGGTTTGGTCATTATTTATACTGATTGGGAGCCAATCAGTTTTACCTTTTGGGTTACCTATACATGAATGCAAATTTAATTATACGATTGGGAGCCAATCAGTTTTACCTTTTGGGTTACCTATACATGAATGCAAATTTAATTATACGATTGGGAGCCAATCAGTTTTACCTTTTGGGTTACCTATACATGAATGCAAATTTAATTATACGATTGGGAGCCAATCAGTTTTACCTTTTGGGTTACCTATACTTGAATGCAAATTTAATTATTAGATTGGGAGCCAATCAGTTTAACTATACACGATCCCAATTAAACATCTCTACAAGATACAATGGCTTGAAGCCTTGAACAGAAGCAACCTCACTCACAAGTTGGAAGCTGGAATATTGGTGAAGTCCCTTTGCCATTTCCACGAAAAAACAAACCAAACCAAACCAAATATAGAAAGCATTCACAATACCAAAAACCAAATATAAAAAGCATTCACCAAACCAAAAATCAAACCAAAAACCAAATATAAAAACCATTCACCAAACCAAACCAAAAACCAAATATAAAAAGCATTCACCAAACCAAAAACCAAATATAAAAACCAAAAATAAAAGCATTCACCGAACCAAATAAAAAACGGTTGTCCATCATCCTGAGAAAAAAAAACATAACTGTTGTCCATCATCTTGAAAACTAAAACGCAAAATCAGGTTGTTCTTGGGCTCGTTGACTGGGTTTCCTTGTGCTCTTCTCTTTCCTTTTTCCTCCTTTCATGGGTTTTCTTGTACTCTTCCACTGCAGCTTCAACTTGAGGTGCAACTCTTCTTGCTTCCGTGAGCACCATATGCCTTATGTAGTTCATGGGCTCTCGAACAAGGTACAAAGCGATCTGCATCCTCCTCACTTGAGTGCATGGCTATCAACATCAACAAACATGGTGCTTACCGCATGATTCAAAAATAACAATCAATTGTGGTTTTCTTATATGCGAATTAGAATTGTCTTTACCCAAATATAAGAGGAGTCCCAGCTTGCGCCATACATCCACATGCATACCCAGACTCCACCGTCAGACCTACATAAAATAAAAGCATTGCGTGATAAGAACCAAGTTGATAAGTCGTCGTTTAATATCACAAAAAAATGGGCATACTTACCGATGAAGTTGTTTTTGATCTTTGAAGGAGTTGGGTACGAAAACTCCGCAATCCTTGGTGGCGACAATCCCGGACCTTGTTCACGATAGAGAATCTTCCACAAGGCTTGCATAAAGCTCATCTGTACAAATTAAGAAACGTTTGTACTTAGAAAGAGTTATTTACATTTTTTTGCGTTATAACGGCACAATGTCACAAATTTACCATTGTTTGAACAGATTGTAGTCGAAAGGAATTGCGGTCTTCATTTGGTTGTGGATCCAAGATATGGACTTCTTCCTTGTCCAACTTAATGACAGCCAAGTACCAATGGGCATTATCTCTCATCGGAACACACACCTACATATGCGGAAATTGTCAACACGTATTAAAAAAATAAACTGCAAACCATGTAATACTTATTAAGACGAACAGTTTACCTTGTTCACCATATTGGTTCGACTAAGGAATTTTGATTCGTATAGGTCTAATGCCATCTTGGGTGTTATTCCACATGAAATCACTAGTTCCTGTCCATGTGGTAGTTGCACAATTGAAATTTTTTCAACACAATATGATTCACGTTAAAAAAACATGTGTTGTAATTTTTTTTGTGAGAGGAAATTGTCATTAAGTATAATCGGACCACAACCTGTAGTTCAGCAGGCAGATAGCACACTCCTTTTCCGTCCTTGGAATTTGTCCACAACTCTTCTAGAGTCAAGTGGCAGGCCATCGCTATTATAACCTAATATAACA